CATAAATTCTTTATGAAGCTGATATTCAGCAGAATATTTCCTAGGTTTTTTTCTAAGAGTTTTATACTCTGAAGTCTTACATTTACGTCTTTAGTCCATCTTAAGTTGATTTTTGTATATGCTGATACATAGTTCCCCAGTTTAATTCTTCTGCATATGGATAGCCAGTTATCCTAGCACCCTTTCTTGAATAGGGAGTCTTTTTCTTATTGCTTACCTTATTTTTTGTTGTTGTTGGTCAACTTTTCAAAGCTTAGATGATTGTGGGTGTGGGTCAGCTTTTTGATATGTTGCTGGATTTGGTTTGCTAGTATTTTGTGAGGATCTTTGCATGTATGTTCATCAGGGATATTAGCCTGATGTTTTCTTTCTTTTCCTTTTTTTTTTCTTTTTAATTGTCTCTCTGCCAGATTTTGGTGTCAGAATGATGCTGGCCTCATGGAATGAGTTAGGGAGGAGTCTCTCCTCCTTAATTTTTTGCAGTAGTTTCAGTGCAGTTGATGCCAGCTCTTTTTTATATGTCTAGTAGAATTTGGCTGTGAATCCATCTGGTCCTGGGCTTTTTCTCATTGGTAGGCTTTTTATTTCTGCTTCAATTTCAGAACTTGTTATTGATCTGTTCAGGGTTTCAGTCTCTTCCTGAAGAGTTCCATCTTAGGAGGTTGTATGTTTCCAGGAATTTATCCATTTCTTATAGGTTTTCTAGTTTGTGTGCATAGAGGTGTTTGTAATAGTTTCTAAGGTTTCTTTTGTATTTCTGGGGATCAGTGTTAATGTCCCCTTGTCATTTCTGACTGTGTTTATTTGGATCTTCTCTCCTTTTTCCTCCTCCCTTCCTCCTTCCCTTCTTCCCTTTCCCTTCCTCCTTCCCTTTCTTTTTTTTTTCTTTTTTTTTTTTTCTTTCCTTTCCTCTCTCTCTTCCCCTCCTTTCTTTGTTCTCTTCCCTTTCCTCTTGCCCTTCCTTCCCTCCCTTTCCTCTCTCCTTTTGAGGCAGGGTCTTGTTCTGTCACCTAGGCTGGAGAGCAGTGGTATGATTGACCTCCCAGGATCAAGCAACCCTCCCACCTGTTTCCCACATAGAAAAGCTGCGACCACAGGCACACACTACCACACCCTGCCAACTTTTGTGTTTTTGTAGAAACAGGGTCTCTCCGTGCTGCCCAGGCTGATCTTGAACTCCTGGGCTCAAACAGTCTTCCCACTTCGGCTTCCCAAAGTGCTGGAATTACAATTGTGAGCCATTGCACCCGGCCTCTTTTTTTTTTTATTAGTTAGTGGTCCAGCAATCTTATTTATTCTTTCAAAGAATCATCTTTTGGTTTCATTTGTCTTTTATAGGGTTTTTCTTGTCTCAATTTTATTCAGTTCAACTCTGATTTGGTTGTTTCTTCTGCCAGCTTTGGGGTTGTTTTGCTTTTGTTTTTCTGGTTCTAACCTCTCAATTTGGGCACTTAACACTATAAACTTTCCTCTTAACAATGCTTTAGTTGTGTCCCAGAGAGTCTGGTGTTGTACCTTTGTTTTCATTGGTTTCAAATAATCTTTTATTTCTGCCTTAATTTCATTGTTTTTACCCAAAAGGTCACCCAGTAGGCTTAATTTTCATTTAATTGCATGGTTTTGAGAGATCTTCTTAGTACTGATTTCCATTTTTTTATGTTGTGTTCTGAGAATGCGGTTGGTATCGTTTTCATTGTTTTGAATTTGTTGAGTATTGTTTTATAGCTGATCATGTGGTTGATTTTGGAGTATGTGCCAGGTGGAGATGGGAAGAATGTATATTCTGTTATTATTGGGTGGAATGTTCTGCAGATGTCTCTTAGATTCATTTGGTCAGGTGTCACATTCAGCTCCTGAACATCTTTACTAGTTTTCTTCCTCAGTGATCTGTCTGATACCGTTAGTGGCATGTTGAAATCTCCCACTGTTATTGTGTGGTTATCTAAATCTCTTCATAGGTTTCTAGAACTTGTGCTCTGTATCTGGTGCTCCAGTATTGGGTGCATATATATTAGGATAATTAAGTCTTCTTGTTGAATAGAACCCTTTATCATTATGTAATGCCTTTATTTGTCTTTTTTTGTTCATTGTTGCTTTAAAGTCTCTTGTCTGAAATTAGAATAGCAACCCCTGCTATTTTTTGTTTGTTTGTTTGCTTGGTAAATTTTTCTCCATTTGTTTTCTTTAAGCCTATGGGTGTCATTGCATGTAAGAGAGATCTCTTGGAAGACAGCATACCATTGGATCTTGCTTCTTTATCCAGCTTCCCACTCTGTGCCTTTTAAGTGTACGTTTAGCCTATTTATGTTCAAGGTTAATGTTGTTATGTGCAGATCTGATCCTGTCATCATGTTGTTGGTTGGTTGGTTGGTGTGCAGACTTCATTGTACTTCCTTTATGGTGTCAGTGGTCTATGTACTTAAGTGTGCTCTTTTGGTGGCCAGCAATAGTCTTTGGTTTCCATGTTTAGCTTAAGGACCTCTTGTAAGACACGTCTGGTAGTAATGAATTTCCTTAGCATTCATTGTCTGAAAATGAATGTATTTCTCCTTTGCTTATGAAGTTTAGTTTGTTTGAATATGAAATCTTGGGTTAGAATTTTATAGTCAGTAAGAATGCTGACTATAAGCCCCCAATCTCTCCTTGTTTGTATGGTTTCTGTAGAAAAGTCCATTGTTTGCCCAATGGGGTCCCCTTTGTAGGTGACCTGCCCCTTCTCCCTAGCTGCCTTTAATTTTGTTTTCATGTTGACCTTGGAGAATCTGATTACTGTGTGTCTTGGTAATCGTCTTGTATAATATCTCACAAGGGTTCTCTGCATTTCCTAAGTTTAAATGTCAGCCTCTCAAGATCGAGAATCTAGTGAGGTTAGGGAAATTTTTGTGGACAGTATCCTCAGATATGTTTTCCAGGTTGCTTGTTCTGTCTCCCTCTCTTTCAGGGATGCCAAATGTTTGATAATCTCATATTTCCTGGTGGTTTTGTTTTGTTTTGTTTTGAGTTTAGCTTTTGTCACCCGGGCTGGCATGCAGTAGCGCAATCTCAGCTCACTGCAACCTCTGCCTCCTGGATTCAAGCGATTCTCCTGCCTCAGCCTCCTAAGTAGCTGGGATTACAGGTGCCTGCCACCACACCTGGATGATTTTTTTTGTATTTTTAGTAGAGATGAGGTTTCACCATGTTGGCCAGGCTGATCTTGAACTCCTGACCTCAGGTGATCTGTCCACCTCGGCCTCCCAAAGTGCTGGGATTACCAGCATGAGCCGCCATGCCTGGCCTTGGTTTTATTCATTTTTTATTCTTTTTTCTTTGTTTTTGTCTTTATTTTTGATTTGAAGAACTGGTCTTCAAGCACTGAGATTCTTTCTTCAGCTTGATCTATTCTGCTGTTAATTTTTCCTGTTGTATTATATGATTCTTGTAGTGAGTTTTTCAGCTCTGACAGATCAGTTTGGTTCTTTCTTAAAATGGCTGTTTAATCTTTCAGCTCTTGTACTGTTTTATTAGATTCCTAAAATTCCTTGGATTTGGATTCAGCTTTCTCCAGAATCTCAAACAGTTTCATTCCTATCCAAATTCTGAATTCTGTGTCTGTCGTTTCAGCCGTTTCAGCATGGTTAGGATCCATGGTTTAGGAACTAGTGGGATGGTTTGCTGTTAAGAAGACACTCTGGCTTTTTAAGTTTCCAGAGTTCTTTCTCATCTGTGTGGGCTGTGGTGGGCCTTTAATCTTTGAAGTTGCTGTCCTTTGGATGGCATTTTTTGCTTTTGTATTCTTTGATGCCTTTGAAGGTTTGACTGTGGTATAATGGTCAGTCAACTGTCTTCATTTCTGGAAGACTTCAGGGGCCAAGGCTCAGCTCAGCACTACTGGGCTGCTTGCTCTAACCCCAAGTGGCTGAGACCAGGCTTACGGCTTTGTGCTCTGGCCCCTCAAGCTTTTGTATCTGCTGTATTGGAGGAGCTAAAACGTTACCAGCTAGTCAGCTGGTAACAACACTTCACAAAGCACTTTGTTGAGGCAGTGGCTGTGGCGTCCATCCTTGTGTGTGTGCCAGCGGCAATGGCAGCATGACAGGTGCACGTGCTGGTGCCAGCATGGACAGCAGTGCTGTGGGGTGTAGTGCACACCAGCAGGGGTGGCGTGGCAGCATCTCCATGGGGGCAGGGCAGCAATGGGTTCATTTTTTATAATAAAGATTTTTCCTAAGGCTTAGGAAGAGCAGAGAATTTAGAGTCAGGTGATTGACTGGCTGTGTGATCTTTGAAAAATGACTTGACTTCAGTGAGCCTCCGTTTCATATCTCCAGTGAGGATAATACCTACTGTATAAGTTTTTATGAGATTGAAGTGCAAAAATGTAAATGTGAAGCTTTTAGTAGTGATTACCATAATATAAATAAATGATAGATCTTTTTTACCTCTTGACATTGTTGATCATGTTAACTTATACAGCTTTAACTTCTATTTCCTGGTCTGTGATGACTTAGGAAATATAAGATAATGCTTGATGTAAAAAAACTTTGGATAACCTTTACTTATTTTTCTCGCTTGACACAGATAAAGAAAATTGGGTGGCAGACAGTTAGCGGGAGTGCTTATTTCTTTATGCAGTAATAGGGTTATTTTGAACTTTGTCAGTGATAAATTTTTAATAGAGTAGATAAGAATCTAGCAGGAAGCTCTTTCCCGGCTTCTTTGAACCTGCCCTCTCCTGAGACACATAAGATTTCAGCTTCAAGGCCTCGACTGACTTAACTGTGGCCTCCTTATGTTTCCCAAGGCTTCATGGTAGAAGATGAAGTTGTTCTAGCCGTGGTTTTTGCTTTTTGTTGTCTCTTTTTTTCCCCAAATATTTCCATTTTTGTTTTTCTAATTTTTATCAACAAATGTGAGAAGTACATTTCATCCTGTAAAACATTATGCTGATGTTATTCTTTTGTTTTTCATTGTTTTCTTTGACCACTCATGTTTTTCTTTGATTTTCTCTGACATCATAGGCACTTTGGTTTCCATTATTGGAGGCAATGATGGCCCCTCAGAAGCTGTCCAGTTCAGCTGCCCCTCATCTACACTCTGAAGGTGAGTTCGTCAGCATTCAAGTGACTGAATCCACTTAGATCATCAATCCAGTATTTGTCTGCAGAAACAATCAGCATAATATCCTTTTGCAATAGCATACTCTCATGATTTTCCTTAATGAAACCGTGTAGCTGATCTCATCTTTCATGTTTCTTTCAGTTGTTCCACTCATATACTTTATCTTAAATAATTGTAGCTTTTGTAACTTAACAATAGTTAAGTTTAAATTTTAAATATATTTAAATAGCTTCTAAGAAGCTATATAAATCCACTGTTTTCCACAGACTTACAGGAAAATCTGAAAACTCTTATTTTAAACTAACCTTAATATTAATGTTTTGTTAAAACAGCTCTGAAATCTTTGACCATGCAAGTTTTAAACAGCATGGCAGCCTTCATTGCCCTGCCATCAATCTTGCAAAGAATCTTACAGGTGAGTTAAAAGGGGTGAATATTAAATATTGATTGATTTCAACTAACATTTTAATTATGTATAAATAACAGCCAATTGGGCTACTGTTTAAATGGATCTCAAGCATAATGCAGCTAATTTTGGCAATAGCTAAATATCTAACTTCTGACCCTCATTCTTGAATATTTTCTGACATAAGCTTATGACTTTCAGTTAGGGTATGCAGCCTTCAGATATTCCCTGTTGCCTTGGGATTCAGATACGCAAGTTTCCTATTGGTTTGCTAACTGGGAGGGAGTTATCATTTCTCTCCAGCTGAAAAAGATAAGCTAAAAATTAATACAGGAATTTCCCAAGCATTGGTTGTTATTTAGGCTTTCTAACTCATCCTAACATTATTTTTGTCTTGAATACTCATCCTTGACTAAATTCTAGCTGGTTTTGTGTCCAAAGCTTTTGTAGGAAGCATCATTTCAGCTTGTTTCTTTCAGCAAAAAGGCCTGAACCTTCCACTTCACCAAAAGAGAACACTCAGAATACTCCAAGATATATTTTTAGGAAAAAACCCCTGAGCATTCTTGGGGAAACAACAGGAATTATACTTACGAATCCATTTTGCCTTTCCTCACTGTATTCAGTATAGGCACACATGTACATTCACACACATACACACATGCACAAAGCAAACAGTAGTACGATGCCATTAGTCCTTATAATTTTCAAATGATTTTTATTCCATCAAGAATGTTCCTATCAGCTCTCTTTTAAGACTCACCGAGGTCTACTTCCCATCTGATATTAAGCTTCTGGGGCTTTTCTGATAAGGAGGACTACATCCTGTAGTGCGTCCTTACACGGTATACCATCATTTAGAATACATTTTTACGTGTGTTATTTCATTTGATCTTAGTAATTATTATGTGTTGAATAATTCTTTGATATCGACTGCTTCTCATATCCATTTTAAAGCATATTACTTAGGAGGTTTCTAATCATATATAAAGTAATATCTCCATAAGGGCAGGAATACTTTTCCAAATAAGTTAGAAGAAATGAAATCCTAAAGCCAAATAGATTCTCTCTGTGTTACACATTTTGCCTCACATTGAGCTTTAACCACACATTATATGTAAATTACAACATAAACATGTTTTTTCTCTTGGCAAAAACTTGATTTTTAAAACTTTTTATATTTCAAGACTTTGGAATCTAGTCATCTCTTGATATTTGAAAATCTTCACTTTATTTTGAGTTATACTGGCATTCATTATAATTTTTTCTTATCATTTTCTACTTTCAATGGTTGTTAACTCCCACTAATCAAAAAGATATGCTGTTTCTGAAATTCCTCATTTGCATGTTTGTGATTACTGTAATTAAGCTACCGTATATTTGTACATAGATTTTTATTTTTCAAGGTGCTTTCACAGATACCATTTCATTTGAACCCCACAGCAATCTCTTGAGGCGGGTAGGGCTACTATAAACATTTCTGCTGAAGAAAGAGGAAACTGAAGTATGGAGAAGCTGAGTTCTTAGCCTGTCATTAGCGGCAGAACCTGAACCACTCCCTGAGTCTCTCACTTCCTAATTCATGTTGTTTATTATTTCATGTGAGCTTTTTAAATTTATGTCCCTGGTCTTTTGAGGAGTTTATTATTAATTAAATATATTAATTATATGTTATGCTGTTTAGATGAAAGGCATAGTTCTTAACCCAGAAGAGCTCTTTTTTTTTTTTTTTTTTTT